CACCACACTCGGCTAATTTTTGTATTTTTTCAGTAGAGACGGGGTTTCACCATGTTGATCATGCTAGTCTCGAACTCCTGACCTCAAGTGATCCTCCCACCTTGGCCACCCAAAGTGTTGGGACTACAGGCATGAACTACCATGCCCAGCCCAATTTCATGTACTTTTGCATCATTATTGTCATCATCCTCTTCGTTACCAAGTCTAGAAAATCAACTCAAAGCATTTTCATTGTTGAAAAAACAAAAGAGAAAATGCAAATGTCCTTACCCAGAAAACAGTCTCCATGCTGACTTAGCACACATTTCTGGGGCCTCCGTAACTGACATGGCGGATCGTGGGCATGGAGTGGACTTTTCAGAATTGCTGTAGCCCAGGCTCCAAGCCTCTCATTCAAGTTCCCCAGAGTAAATTGCTAGGCCTCAAATGCAGCCTCTTAAAAATGGGGTTAACATCCGGTTATGGTAAGGAATAAAACAGTAAAAATGAAGAGCTGTCACAGAACAAGTGGCACAGATGCTTAGTAGCAACTGAGTCTTCATTTCTGTTTAACAAAATGCCCCATGTAGCCTGGGCATGGTGGCTCACATCTGTAATCCCAGCACTTTGGAGGCCAAGGTGGGATGACTGCTTGAACCCAGGAGGTCCAAACTAACCTGGGCTACATAGTGAAACCCCGTCTCCACGAAAAGTTTTTAAAGTTAGCCAGGTGCGGTGGTGCATACCTGTGGTCCTCGCTACTCAGGAGGCTTGGGTGAGAGGATCACTTGAGCCTGGGGTGAGGCTGCCATGAGCTGTGATTGTGCCACTGCACTCCAGTCTGGGAGACAGAGTGAGACATGGTCTCAAAAAAAAAAAAAACAAAAAAAACAAAAAAAAGCCCCACCCATGCCCAAAGCAACCTTAGCTTAGCCCCTTGTGAGGTGAGATGGGTAAAGTAGGCAGTGGGAGGAGCCGGATGGTGGCAGCTTGGCCCAGTGGCTGGCTTTTGCAGAGCCTGTGGACATCCTTTGACCTTCTTCCCCCATCCCTGTGGACTTCCAATTCCACAAGCAGAAACCAAGCAGTGGGTGAGGTGGACGGAATCCGGGCAGGAGAGATCACATACAAAGTTTTTTCACGTGTGCATTTGTGCACATGCAAGAATCATTCAACAAAGAAAGGATTTAGTTGGGGTTTGCAAAGACTGTTAATAAGTTCAAGGATGCCTACCCATTTAGACATTTAGATTTTCTGCCAGGAAATGGGAAAAAAAAAAGATTAGATGGATGGATAGACAGACAGACAGATAGATAGATAGATAGATAGATAGATAGATAGATAGATAGATAGATCGATAGATAGATAGATAGATAGATAGATACTCAGACAGACCTTGCCAGTCAGCGTCAGTCGTGCTTTCTGGGACGTAATCTTGTGTACCATGACGCCCAGGAAGTGAGCAGAAAAGGCCTTTCTGAAGGATGTGGTCTCTGTCAGGATGCCCTGGTTGCCTGCAGGTGTAGAGAGGACTCGTTGAGCTTCTCTACTGAGGGGAATATCCAGGGGATAGTTCTGGCCCAGTCAGGCCAGGTAAGAGTTCCAGAAAATGAGCATGAGAAGAGAGGGGAACCTGCTGCTTTGGGGTGACTGCTGTTTCAAGGTAGCCCTGACTGGGGCAGCCACCAGCCACCAGTGATAGACACAAGGGGTTAAAACACACACACACACACACACACACACACACACACACGCACTGTGGCAAACGACATGGCTTGGAAATGGCTTTCACTCAGCACACCAATCTCAATCAGGAACTACTGTGTCCAACACAGGATCGGATGGACTCCAGCTCCTGCACTTAAAGATGTCGTGGTTAAATGTGTGGACTCTGGAGGGAGTCTGTTTGGGTTCAAACCCCACCTTTTCAGCTGGGTGCAGTCACACCTGCAATTCCAGCACTTTGGGAGGCTGAAATGGGAGGATTGCTTGAGGCCAGGAATTCAAGACCAGCCTGGGCAACATAGCGAGACCCCAGCTCTACACAAATAAACAAACAAAAACCCCCAAATTTCACCTTCTCTACATATTAGCTGCTAACCATAAGTAACTCGCTTAACCTCTCTGTGCCTCAGTTTCCTCCTCTGTCACAATAACAAAAGGAATTAGAATATTAAAGCACTTAGAATAGTTCCTGGCAAATTAGCAAGCACTATTTACATAGTTGTTACCGGTGCAAATAACCTTTCTGAAAGAGAAACACCTGATGCTTGAAGGGATGCGGCGTTTGGAGGCCATGAGGCTGTTTGTGCTTTTTTTTTTTTTTTCCACTTTCCATGAGCTACAGAAAAATAGAGGAGGCCAGCTGCTCCCCATGTCTTCATGTCCCGATGTGAGGCTGCAAGGAAATCGCCTGAGACCAGCGGCTGTCACCAAACTCCTCCATTCTTTGGTACTTGAAGGACCTTGCCTGAGTTTGCTAGGGCTACCCCCACAAGGTATCACAAACTAGGTGACATAACCAACAGAAATTTGTCTTCTCAGAGTTCTAGAGGCTAGAAGTGCAAGACCAAGGTGTCAGCGGGGCTGGCTTCCCTGAGGGCTGAGAGGCAGAATCTGTTGGATGCCTCTCCCATGCTTCTGGTGGTTCGCTGGCAATCTCTGGTATTCCTCGGCTTGCTGAAGCTTCACCCTGACCTCTGCCTGCATCTCACACGCTGTTCTCACTGTGGATGTGTCTGTCCCCACCTTTCCCCTTTTCTTTTTTTCTTTCTTTTTTTTTTTGAGACAGAGTCTCACCTGTCACCCAGGCTGGAGTGCAGTGGCGCGATCTCGGCTCACTGCTACCTCTGCCTCCCCCGTTCTTCTGCCTCGGCCTGCCAAGTAGCTGGGACTACAGGCGCGCACCACCACGCCTGGATAATTTTTGTATTTTTAGTAGAGATGGGGTTTCACCATATTGGCCAGACTGGTCTCAAACTCCTGACCTTGTCCACCCCCGCTTGGCCTCCCAAAGTCATGGGATTACAGGCGTGAGCTGCCACCGTGCCCGGCCAAATTTCCCCTTTTCATAAGGACAGGAGTTAGATTAGATTAGGGCTGACCTTAATGACCACGGTTTAGCTTGATTACCTCTGTAAAGACTATCTCCAAATAAGGCCATAGTCTGAGGTACTGGGGTTTAAGCCTTCAAGTTTTTTTGAGGCAGGGGCAGGGGGGACAGAATTCTATGCAACCCCAGCCTCATCCCACCCAAAGCCAGCATGCTGAGGCCTGCAATCACCCCAGACAGCCCCAAAGGTTTGTAACTAAACATGCTGACCTTCATCCCTTGACTCTTGATGTCTTGGATTTGGTTAGCCAGAGACTGGGGAAACAGATCCATTAAATTCTGCATAGATTGAAAAACCCAAGACAGGGCAGTTCAATTAAAGCACCTCCAATCATTCTTGTGGTTTCTCTAAAAGGGTGCGCTTTTTCCAGCTCTGCCTGAGTATTCTAACTCTTCACACTTTCTTGGGAAGGATAAGGGGCAGGAAAGACCAGTTGCTTTGCTGGACTTTGTGTGATTCCGTGCTGCAGGACCTTTGCCAGGGCAGCCACTGAGGGAAGGTAGCCGAGGCTTGGAGAACTTTCGGGCTGTGAGTCTCATTCATTCCTGGAGGCAAAAGCACAGAGGGCAGGCCTAGCTGTGGTGTGGGAGTCAGGAAAGAGAGGAGGTGCAGGGCCGAGGGGATGATAAGGGGATCAAGGAGGTGAAGAAGGAGGCTGGGAAAATAGATATTGTAATCACAGACTTTTCTATAAAATAGGTAATTTATGTGTAGTGCAGAACAATGATCTTTTCATTAAGCTGAAAAGAAGCCATGTATAGTAGTTAGGATTCTATTTGGTTGTGTATGACAGAAAATGTCAAAATAATAGACGCTTTTTAAAAAATTGACCTTTATTTCTCCCTTTTACAAAAGAAGTCGGGAAATAGGCAATCCAGGGCTCGTATCACAGCCCATGGCCATCAGAGAAGGAGGCTCCATGTAATACGCTGACTCTCCAACCTTAGCATGTCTCTTCATGGTCCCTAATGGCTTTTCAGCCTCCAGACAGTACCAGGTAGCAGAAAAGAGCCTTTTCAGAGGCCCCGCACATTACCTCTGCTGACATCTCACTGGCCAAAACATAGTAAAGTGGCCACATAATTTTTTCTCTGGGTAGCTATGTACCTAGCAAAAACTGGGGACTTGTTACTAAGAAAAGACAAGCAGTTGGAGATCCACAGTGGTCTCCACTACACTGTATATGAAGGCAAGACAGTTAATTTCTACCTACATTCCCAAATATATCCTCAGGAAGAGAATGTTTCTGCAGCATAAATTCTTTGTGCATTGGAGGATCTTCCCTTTCAACCTTCAATTGTACTGCATGCAAACCACCCCTCAGGTTCTCAGCTTCAACCTCACTTTCTCGAGGAACCCTCCTCAGGCCCCCTTAGTCTGCATTAGGCTTCCCTGTTTTATGTTCCCATTGCACCTTATGCTTCTGCTTCAAAGCCTCTGCACCCCTGTCATTATTGACTCATCTGGAATTACGTCTGTAAGTGCTGTCTTGCCTGTAATCTAAACTGTAAGCTCCCTGAGGGCAGACTCTGCTTCACCCTCCACTGTCTTCCAATGTGTGGCACCTAGTAGGCCCTCAATAAATATTTGTTAAGTGATTGAGTGATTAGAATATTACAGAGACCCCAGATTTAAGGCCATTTCCAGCGAGATCTTTTTTTTTTGAGACAGATTTTCGCTCTTGTTGCCCAGGTTGGAGTGCAGTGGTGGGACCTCAGCTCACTGCAACCTCCACCTTCCGGTTTCAAGTGATTCTCCTGCCTCAGCCTCCCGAGTAGCTGGGATTACAAGCATCCGCCACCATGCCCAGCTAATTTTTGTATTTTTAGTAGAGACAGGGTTTCGCCATGTTGGCCAGGCTGGTCTCAAACTCCTGGCCTCATGATCTGCCCATCTCAGCCTCCCAAAGTGCTGAGATTACAGGTGTGAGCCACTGCACCCAGCTGATCTTTTCTTTCTTTAACTAGACTTCCCCAGCTGAGACCAGGACAAAACCAGATTCCCCTGTGCTGTGCACCTGCCAGGACTGGAGCAGCCCAAAAGCCCATGGGAGGGCTGTGGACTGGGGCTGTCAGACCAGGCTCTCCGAGGAGGACTCCCACACCCACGGCCAACTCCACTTTACAAAACCAGCTCCAGCCAGAAGTATGCCTGGGGGGCAGGAGAACAGAAACTGCAGCAGTGTGGGTGGATTTTAAATCTGCGAATGCAACTGACTGCCCAATGTTTGGGAGATAAAATAGGTCACCATTCTCCCCTCGGTTTGGCGTCACTCAGCGTCACTCCCAGGCCCTAAAGGGGAAGCAAGAGTTTTGTGATCTTTGCTGTCATAGGCTATGGACAAATTTGGTTACACTTAGCTTTACAAGAGCTGCCCGCCCACCTAACTCCTGTTCACAAGACCCCTAAAAATTAGAAAAAGGTCAGTCCAGGCTGTTCAGTCTTTGGTTGTTCGATGGGGAATCTTCTTAGGCCAGTTTTTAAAGAGTTCATTTTGACACCAGCCAAGACAAAAGGCAGGACCCAGAGTCTAGACAGCCCCCATTCCCGCCGTTTGCAACTTGGCCCATTAGGCTGGAGCCTTCTGTTCTCTGGCAATGAATCATAGGCTTTTAAAGTAGAGAGTGAGAAAGAGCAAGCCCTGGAGAGAGCCCCGTGAGGCCTTGGGGTAAGGGCTTCCAGGACTGTTCATGAGAAGCTGTGCATGTCTCCCTCCAACTTCCCCAGATGAGACACCAAGATTGAGAAGTGAAGAGTCATCTCCAATTTGGCAGACATCCTGACCCTCCACACTCACCATTCTGATACTTAGTCATTACCATCCTGGTATATTTAACCACTTCTCCTTCTGACTGAGAAGCTGAAAGTGATATTCAGCCTGGGTGTGATGTGGGGATTTTCTGGGACAGGGCGGAGATGATGAGGTGCTGGAGTTGCATGAGCTGGTCATTACAGTCAAGACTTGTGAACCAGTTGTGAAACCCTTGGTAACCTGAAATCTGCCATGGTGGGAGTATTTACACTACAGAAATTGGCCAATGCTGCAAATCAGGATTTCTTTCTTTTTTCAGTGAGACACTTGACCAGCACACACTGCATTACTCACGCAGGAGGAGCTCTGGGAGGGCTGGAGAAAACCATAGATGAGCAGAGTTGAGGATGTTTGGTGCCTCCCCTGATGGCTTCATCATGTCATCTTTCTCGGCTCTTCACAGTCAGCATTTTCTCTGTGGAAACACCAAGAGATTCTACCTCTGCTCCATCAGCAAACAAGGAAGTCATTGATTTTCATGGGCCCTGTGCTAGAGGACTCCAAGAGTCCAACCTCTTAGAGCAGCAGGCCCATTTTCTGGTGGAGAAGAGAGAAGGCAAAGCCAGGGAAGGGCATTTAATAGTGACAACTCAGTGAAAAGGCAGATAGAGGCAGACCGATGATCAAAAGTGTCTTCTTTCAAAGCTCCTGATTGAAAACAGCAATCCATGCTTGCCAATGAAGGCCACAGGTGATGTTTCTTATGTGAGTGCATGAGAAAATATGACCCTCTGCTTTAGGTCATATTTTCAGAGGTCATACAAGGTTGAAAGGAAGCAAATCATTTTCATGAGAAGGATAATAAATGAGACCGGGATTGGTATTGAGAAAAGTATTTAGACATTTCTGAGCTGACCAACCTGGAGAAGAAAGTGCTTCTAGACACACAGATTTCCAGGACTTTTCCTGAGAGGGTTAGATTCTGGAGGTCTGCAGAGGGGGCCAAGAACCCGTGTTTTTACCAGCCCCTTCCTCACCCCATGATTCTCCTGATGGCAGCCTGCGGACCGCACTTTGAGGAACTGGTCTAGTGAGGGTCCTCAGAGGGTGTTTTGCAGTGGGTGGAACTGGCCTCTGAGTGGGATCCTCCTTCAGTACCTAGGCCCTGCCCTGCCATGGCTACGGGTCTTCAGGACTCATCCTTGGGGATAGGTGCTGGGTGTTATGGGAACAGCATAAAAACACAAAACAAAAAATTCCATTTCTCACCACTGGTGGTGAGAAATGGGGGTGGAGCCTGGAACTGTGGTCATAGGGATCCAAGAGGAGCAGCCGGGATGCCATTGCACAACCAGCCACCTCTAAGAGAAGCAGGACCAGGCCCAGGACTGAGCCTCCACAAGCCCTGCCGCCAGCCGCCAGCCACCCTTCCTCCCTGGGAGAGTCAGAAAGGGAAGCATAGTGAAGCGCTGCATGGTGGTCTCCATCAACAGGGAGGCCCCTCCCCTCCCTCTGCTGCAGCCATCTTACCTGCAGCCAGAATGTGCCAGGGCCAAGCTGAGGACAGGGCGGCCTCTCCAGAATCCCTGCCCTTAGAGGACCTGCCAGAGACTGGTTTTTCTTGTTGGAGGCACCTCTTCACAGTCTGCATGTATAAGGCCTGATGAAACTCATCCCAAGAACCCAAGCCCACTTGCAAAGATGGGATAGAGAAGGGGCATGGCATTCCACTGATGGGCTCACTCTGGAGAGGAGCTACTGACCCAGCAGCAGTTCCCCCTCCCTCACCCCTGTTCACCACCCCCAGGAAGACATCCGACTCCCCATCAAATGGTCCCTGCCAAGGGCATTGTGGTAACGCGGGGAAAGAGAGGATGCCAAGTTGCTCCTCTGCCCATTGGACCCTTTCTCATCTGAGGAGAATTCCATGGCAGCCCCTCCTGGGCTGTGCTCTTTATGTCTCTAAGCCACTTCCTGTTTCCTTTTCTAGGTCATAAGCCAGGCTTATAGTTCGTGTGAGTCACTTACCTAGGAAGCCCAGAGCACACGGCTGCCTCTCAGGGAGGGAGCAAAGGATACAGTTTAGAAGTGCGAGGCATCGGTTTGCTCCTAAAACACACAGATTGTCCTAGGCTTTTAGCAGTGCTGTGTGCCATGGCCCCCAAGCAATGCAAGCCTTGGAGATCCGTGATTTGCCCGGTTTGCGTTCCTCTGCTGATGCCAGGCTTTCAGTTCCCAGGAGGCACTGGACAAGCATAATTTGGCAAATAAAACATTGCTTTGCCAAGGGGCTAGGCCTATCAGACATTCATTAGGCAACAGCCAGCAGGACCTGTGAAAGTCATGGCAAAGAAGCCATTCAAAAGCATTGTCTTCTAGTAACTAAATTTCAAAACCAGGAGGAAGCCACAGCTCAGACATCGGCCGATGTTCAGCAACCTGGATTCACAGGGAAACGGACAAGAATAGACTTTGCACAAGTCTATTGCTTTCCCTTCATGACATCTAGGCAGTTTACTCCTCCTGACTTCCACTACTCACTGCGCGAGGATTATTCTGTGGTCACCAGAGTACTAAGGAGGAGGCGCTGGGTGATTTGGTCGAAGTCAATGTGCCAAGTCAGCATCAAGCAGCTATTTTTGCCTTCCCATTCCATTCCCTGAATTTTTTTTTCTGTGAAAGTGTCTTGTAAGCTAGAATACACCTGAGGTGGCAGAGGAAAAGCAGAGCTCTAATCTCTTCCCTAGGCCTCTAAGTGAGTTTTGCATTCAGGGATGATACTGGGGCAAGGGGTTTGAAAGGTCCTGATGTTGCTGACACCCACATAAAACACTTTCTGCAGCAGAGAAGGGAAGGGGAGAGGAAAGAACAGGCAGAGAAAGACCCAGAAACTCAGATCAGCCTAGGATGAGAGTACCTGTCCTCAAAACAGTCAGAAATCCAGAGTCCTGACTCTCCAGCAGGTATGGTCTGGATCCTAGTGAGATTATCTTCAAAGACAAAACAAACTCCAGTCATGCAGAGAAGCCGCATTGTTCCGTGCAGATCTATAAAAACAACGGAAAGAGTGTCATCCCCTTAATTAATGAGGAAGTAGGGAAATAGGAATCCTTGTACCCTGCTGGTGGGAATATAAACTGGAAAAACTGAGTTGGGGAATCAACTGAGGCCAGAAGTTCGGGACCAGCTTGGTTAACATGGTGAAACCCCATCTCTACTAAAAATACAAAAATTAGCTGGGTGTGGTGGCGTGCACCTGTAATCCCAGCTACTCGGGAGGCTTAGAGTAGAGAATCACTTGAACCCGGGAGGCAGAGATTGCAGTGAGCCGAGATTACACCACTGCACTCCAGCCTGGGTAACAGAATGAGACTCTGTCTCTAAATAAATAAATACATACATACATACATACATATATACATACATAACTGTAAAAACATTGCTGATTGGTAAGTTGGTTATGTTTGAGGCAGAGACAATGCTTGTTCTGGGTCCCTTACACTCTTGTTTTCCTCCTGGACACTCAGGAAGACTATACTTCCCAGCCTTCCTTGCAGTTAGGAGCAGTCATGTGACTGAGTTCTGGACAATTGGAAGTTGGGCAGAGGAAGTGATGTGAGTCACCATCAGGCCTGACCCTGAAACTACCTGTGCAATTCTCCATGCTCTCTCTCTCTCCCTTTACCTATCAAGTGAAATCAGAGCATCCAGTGGAGAAGTCCGAGGCCGGGGCAAATGGAGACCCATCAGGTGGGCAAACCCTGGTTCCAGACGACCATGCAGAGTGCCTTCTACTCCCAACCAATGACTTGTGTTGAACTGTGACATAAAAGAGAAATACATCTTTATTGTGTTAAGCCACTGAGATTTTGGCTATGTCTGTTACAACATTTAGCCTGTCTGACCGATACACTATCACAATCCTTTAAAAGGTCATAAGCTTTGACCTAGCAATTAAATTCTTTGGAACATATACTAAGGAAATAATTAAGAATAATCACTTAAAATTATAAACAGACCGGACGTGGTAGCTCACACCTGTAATCCCAGTACTTTGGGAGGCAGAGATAAGAGGATTGCTTGAGGTCAGGAGTTTGAGAACAGCCTGGTCAACATAGCAAGACCCAATCTCTAATAAAATTTAAAAAAAATTATAAACAACATTAATCTCCAATAATAGGCAATTCATTAAATAAATAATAATACAACTCTGCAAAGGAATATTTAGGCACTTAATATCATTTAAGTGTATTTATTGACATGAAACAATTTCACGATTTAGTATTACATGAAACAGAGTAACAAAGCAACATGCATGGTATGAGCCCGTAACTATTTATATATGTATATGCATGCAAAGAAGAAAATTCGGAAATATACCAAAAAACAGTGATTATTTCTGGTAGTAGGACTAAAGATGCTTGCAGTTTTATGCTTTTTCTACAATTAGCATATCTTTTTTTCAGTTAAAAAAATTTTTTGGCCGGGCGTGGTGGCTCACACCTGTAATCCCAGCACTTTGGGAGGCCAAGGCGGGTGGATCACAAGGTAAGGAGTTCGAGACCAGTCTGGTCAATATGGTGAAACCCCGTCTCTACTAAAAATACAAAAAAAAATTAGCCAAGTGTGGTGGCACACGTCTGTAGTCCCAGCTACTCAAGAGGCTGAGGCAGAAGAATCACTTGAACCCAAGAGGTGGAGGTTGCAGTGAGCTGAGATCGCACCATTGTACTCCAGCCTGGGCGACAGAGCGAGACTCCGTCTCAAAAAAAAAAAATTTTTTTTTAAAGTAGCCTTTTGGAAATGGATGGGTCTCCTTTGAACTTTAGGGCTGGCCTTACTCTCTCTAAGTATTAAGTGTAATGGGTGCAAAGGAAACGCAGGTCCCCTCCACTCTTCTGGGCTAAAATGCCACCATTCATAAGGTTAAATACCTATTTTATCTTCACCATTGAGAGCAACTCTCAAGCCCTTCATTCACTTAGCTTCAGGGCTCAGTTCTATTGACATAGTGCTCTGTCTTTAAGGAAAGATGTACCTTTTTATCACAAGGTTTTTCAGGATTTTCTCAGAGTTGCTGGGCCTCAGAACTCTCTTCTTTTGAGTCCTAATTTGGATAATTCGGGAAACTGCAGCCACAGTTCCTCTCTCCCTTGAGACTGGCTGAGTGAGGCAGACCACGCCTGTAATGCAGAAAGCAGGGCAGGAAATCACACTCTAACCACAGGTCTTTACTCAGAAACCCAGCAGCCTCACTACCAAATAAACTCAGGAGCCCTAAAGCCTCAGTGCCCTGACCTATAAGATCAAAGAATCTCATGTGAGCTCTCCAAGTGGACTTTTAATAAAAAGTCGTGCTGCCAGTTTCTGTTTTGACCTTCCAACCACAGGATCATGCCAACATTCAGTAGTAACTCCATTTTTTTTTTTTTCCTGCCAAATCGACTCCTTGCTCTTTTCAACACATCCTCACACAGAGGGAACAAGCCACTGAGGTTTCCTGTTGAGGAGGGTTCTTTGGTGTTCTGGGAGGAAACCATATATTCACAGAAACCATGTATACGTTTTCCGTGTAGTAGGACAGAACTACCTTAATTTAACTGGATGTCTTTTCGACAAACCATGTACCCCTAAAATGAAGAAATGGAAGGAAGGTGTTTATTTTCATCCCGGCCCTTATTCTGCTGCATTGTCCCTGTGTACATTTCTCTTACTCCACGGAGTAGGAGCTTCTTGAGGACCATGACTGTCATTTATTTCTCCCTCCCTGCTCCCGGCACTAGCAGCACCTCCCCTCCTCCCTCTTAACAAAGTTTTCAGTGAGTGAGGGAATGAATGAACTTTCCCCTGTTTCCTGATGGGTTTCAGCCAGCACAGACTACCTACTTTTGTTCAGACGCGTCCTGTGTGTCTTTGTCTCTACGGGCACTGTGTTTGATGGGTTTCTTGAAACCTTCCCATGCACACAGTAGTACAGTGGCAAGATCAGCTACATACATTGCAGAACCCACTGGAAAATGAAAATGCAGGGCCCTTGTTCAAAAATTATTTACAATGTCAAATTATCCAAAATTAATACAATTAATTCTTAAACGTTAAATTAGATAGTAAATGATTAAGAAGTTCAAAGCTTTACAGAGTAGAGCAGTGCAGGCAAGCCTGGTTCTCGTCCACCACATGGCTCAGCTGCCTGCTCCTCCCCTCTGCTCAGAGTCAAGGTCCCGAGGCCAGCAGGGTGTTTGTTTGCTGATGAGGGCCTACCCATACCCTGCCCTGCATCCTGTCACCAGAGTTTCATTTGGAATCCTGAGCAAAGGTCTCCGATTGCTGATTCTCCTGCCAACAGAAAACACTCTCTCCCTCTCTTGAATGTGTTGGCAGGAAAACCAGATTTTTATCTCTCCAGGTCAGCCAAAATCTTGAGGCCAGTTAACTTCCCCAGTGATCTCATTTGAATCATCCTTCACTTCTGCCCCCAGTGAAACTGAATCTGCACTGTGCTCGACTCTCAGCCCAAGTGAGGTGCCACGCCCACACCTCACTTGTCTTCCACTGAGGTCTTTCCTGACAACCCGTTTCTCTGGGTTGCCCTCTCTTGCCCTTGAGACCCCTGTTCAGTTGTGAACAGTCTCTCCATTCTATGGCTGCAGACTCTTCACTGAAATCTGTTTGCCTCCATCAAAACTAGATCTTTCCAAGGAAACCACCTGCCCCTGTGTGGCTCTCACAGTTCCCAAGCGGAATCTTTCAGTGCCTCTCCCCACTGTCAGACCTGCCATCGCCCTGGAAAAGCTGAATTTTCATGTGTGAATCAGCCAGTATCCTGGCCTCAAATTTGTTCACCTCCTTAACTTTGGTGACCATTGTCTCCTCTCCACCTCAGCCATCTCTATATCCTGTACATTCTCAAAACTCGGAACTGAAATGGTAAACTTCAATATCCCTAAACTTATTGAAAACACACAAACTCCAATATCCCACATTCTCATTTCAATTCCTTGGTTTCCAGCATTCATACTGTCAAACATCAGCATTTTTTACTCCTCTACATGGCCTGTCTCCATGTGGAGAGCTTGGGCTTCCTCACAGCATGGTGGTCTCAAGGTAGTCAGACTTGCTACATGGTAGCTGGTCTCCAAGAGTAAAAGCAGATGTTGACAAGCCTTTTGAAAGTTAGGCCCAGAACTGGCACAGCATCCTCTCTGCCTTGTTCCGTCAGTCAAAGCAAGTGATAAGAAATCATGAGGCGAGTCCAGATTCAATGGAAGGAGAAATAAACTTGACCTCTTAAACAGTGGAGCAGCATGTGTATACACTGGGAGAAAGATTTGATGGTGGCCATTTTTGGACACTGTCTACTACAGAGGAGAGAGAAAATAAATATATATAACAAACAGGAAAATACCAGATAGTAATAAGAGCTGTTCAGAGAATCGAAATAGGGTGTTTTGATGGAGAATGACTGAGGAGCTCCTGGAGATTGAGGGGGTTGTCGGGGAAAGTATGAGGAAGTGATGTTTAAATTACAACTTGTGGTCAGGCGTGGTGGCTCACGCCTGTAATCCCATCACTTTGGAAGGCCACGGTGGGTGGATCATCTGAGGTCAGGAGTTCGAGACCAGCCTGGCCAACATGGTGAAACCCCATCTCTATTAAAAATACAAAAATTAGCTGGACGCAGTGCTAGGCACCTGTAATCCCAGCTACTCAGGAGGCTGAGGTGGGAGAATTGCTTGAATCCAGGAAGCAGAGGTTGCAGTGAGCCAAGATCATATCATTGCGCTCCAGTCTGGGTGACAAGAGTGAAACTCTGTCTCAAAAAATAAAAATAAAAATAAATTAAAACTTGAAAAGCAAGAATTTCCAGCTGTGTGAAGGTCCAGGCAGGAGGAAGAGCCAGCAGAATTGCTCTAACATGGGACTGAGCCAGGCATGTTTAAGGAATAGAAAGACCACACATTAGGAGTATAGACAAGGACAGGGAGCATGGGCTAGAAAACAGGTCAGACAAGTGGGAAGGGCCGGATCAAGTGAATCAGGGGAAGGAAGCTGGACTTTATTCCCAGAACCATTCATGGAAACTGATTGAAAGGTTTACAGCAGAGAGCGGATATAATATGACTTACATAGTGAAAGGTCACTCCAGCTGCCTTGCAGAGAACAGGAAGTGTAAGTGTGGAAGCAGCAAGAGCAGTCAGGAGGCTACTGTGAGACCCCAGGGGAGATGGTGGCTTGTTCTGGCTGCTGGCTGTGGGGAGGAGACAAAATAGAGATAGGTTTGGTGGCTGGACCACCTGTACTGTCTTGGTTCAATTCCTCTTCATGCCCAGGTGATCACTGCAGAAACCTGGTTGGTCCTCACCCACACCTAGCTGTCAGTTAGTGTCCCTCCTTAGAGTTTTGTGGGGGTTTTCTGTTTTGTTTTGTTTTTTGTTTTGTTTTGTTTTGTTTTGTTGAGACAGGGTCTCATTCTGTTGCCCAGGCTGGAGTGCAGTGGTGTAATCATAGCTTACTATAACCTCGAACTCCTAGACTTCAAGCAATCCTCTTGCCTGGCCTCTGGAGTAGTTGGGACTACAGGCAATACTACCATGCTCAGCTAATTAAAAAAAAAAGAAAAAAAAAAAAAAGAAGAAAAACTTTTGTAGAGATGGAGTCTCACTATGTTGCCTAGGCTAGTTTCGAACTCCTGGACTCAAGTGATCCTCCCACCTTGGCCTCTCAAAGTGCTGGGATAATAGGTGTGAGGCATGGTGCCTGGACCTCCTTAGAGTTTTTAAGATTACTTTAAATTCCATATCGTTGCACATAATGAGACCCTTCATGGTAGGCTCTGCTCCTTCCCGCTTAGACTGGTTTCCCATCTCTGTCCCACATAGGCCTTTGCTCCAGCCAGATCTAAGTCTTCACTGTTTCCTGACCATGTCCTGGTTCATGACCCTGTGCCTGGCATGTGCTGTCTCCTCTGCCTAAAATATTTCTTCTCCCTCACCTCCATTACTTTGTCTACCCAACTTCTGTTCCTCCCTCAAAATCTAACAGGTGTCACCTCTTCCACTAAGCCTTCCCTGAAACCCCAGTTTTATTTAGATTTCTATGCACTGGACACATAACAGCATGAATGTCCAACTCCTTGTCTGTCTCTTCCAATTGGTTGGGGTTTCTTAGGGGCAGAGACCATCCCTAGAACCCGGCACAGGGCTTCATAAGCTGATGCTATCATGTTCAGCACAATTTACCCTTGGAGTGTGAAAATGTGTCTTACAAGGTCAAAGCACAGCAGAAAGATTTGATAGATCCCCATAACGAGGTCCTCCATTCTCCCAGGCTGATTCTGGGAGGCTGGACTCATTACTTAAGAAGCGTGCACGTCTTCAGTGGGAGAACTGACACAAGATCCGGACATGCTCCAGGAAAGGTCTGGTCCCCGCACGCGATGATCAGCATCACCACTAGTAATAATATTGGTTCTTGGCAGAATTAGTACTCAGACCACCGTTCTCCCCTCGCTCCCACCCATAGTCTCTGGGAAGATCTGAAAAGCCTACTGCAGCCAACATGAAGTTCACCATAGTGCTTAAAGGTAAATACACTACAAGTGGCTGACTCTAAAATCTCTACCCAAACCTGGTCCTCGTTTCTGAACTTCCGACTCTCATATTCAACTGCCTGATGGACTTCTGTACCTAGATATCCTCCAAACTTGGCAAAATTGAACTCATCATTTCTCTTGCCCCCATATACTCATGAGTGGCAGCCCACTCGGAATGACTGATGGATGTCACTTGAGTTCATCCTCTCCGTTGCCATTGCCAGGATCCTGTTGCAAGCCCTCAGCTTTTCTGGCCTGCATAACCACCTTAGCCCTTCCCCAGCCTCCCTGTTCCCAGCCTCATCTTCCTCAGGTACCCAGAGCATCTCTCCAAAATGCAAATCTAATCTTGTCCTTCCTCTCTCAGAAAACCTTTAATTGCCCAAAGCAGATTATTAAACTTTAGTTTGCATCTGAATTGCCTTGAAAGCTTCTTAAAAATGCAGATTCCTGAGCCACCTCCAGACCTCCAAAAATCCAAAGTTCTGTGGGTGGAGTGATGCACATTCTCAACCAGTGCCCAAGGGCTTCTGATAGAGCTGGGCTCCACCTTGAGAAACAATGTCATGCACAGGCGACTCCAGACTCCATCATTCACTCCACCAGGCCCTTCTCAGGCCAGGGACCCCCCAAGCGAGGTCTGTCTCATCCACTCCCTCCTCACACACCCTGCTCTTCATGGTACTGCTTACCTTCCCCCTTTGCTCTATTTTGCCTGGTGCCAAGAATGTCTTCTTCGAAAGACCGAGCCCCGTTTTCATTCCGGTAACTCGATAATCCTTTGGAATGTTGCTACTCAAAGCATCAGCACCACCTGGGATCTTGTTAGAAATTCAGAATTGCAGACCCCACCCCAGCCCTACTGAATCAGAGCCTTGGTAATTCCTATGCACATAAGAGAAGAAGAAGCACAGCCTTATAACTTGGCTCAATAGTCGCCTCTTCCAAGAAGCCCTCCTAGACTGACACTGACTCATCAAATACCCATTCCTCCCAACTGACACCGGGCATCACAATCACAGTGCTTGTTGTGGGGAAAAGAAAGAGATCAGACTGTTACTGTGTCTATATAGAAAGAAGTAGACATAAGAGACTCCATTTTGTTCTGTATTTGAGATGCTGTTAATCTGTGACCCTACCCCCAACCTTGTCCTTGCAAGAGGCATGTGCTGTGGTGACTCAAAGTTTAACAGATTTTGGGCTGTGCAGGGTGTGCTTTGTTAAACAAGTGCCTGAAGGTAGTATGCTTGTGAAAAGTCATCACCATTCTCTTAATCTCAAGTACTCAGGGACACGTACACTGCCAAAGGTCGCAGGGACCTCTGCCTAGGAAAGCTAGGTATTGTCCAAGGTTTCTCCCCATGTGATAGTCTGAAATATGGCATCGTGGGAAGGGAAAGACCTGATCGTCCCCCAGCCTGACACCCGTGAAGGGTCTGTGCTCAGGAGGACTAGTATAAGAGGAAAGAAGGCCTCTTGGCAGTTGAGATAGAGAAAAGCATCTGTCTCCTGCCCATCCCTGGGCAATGCAACATCTTGGTG